TAAATATACACTTAACACACTACCAAACTTGAACTTTTGCTTGTCCTCAAGTAAAATCAATTTATGAGCACAAAACATGACTATACATCTCAGGACGGTAGATCGATTGGTCAACTTCACGTTTTCAGAACTTGCTATTATGATGATAGTTCCTAGGTATTCGCAAGCTTAACATTCAACGGCACTTAGTCACTCACTATTACCAAAAACCACAAATCATACAATTGCTTCAAGTATCCAATATTTGCAAGTTAAAGATAGAAAGAATTTATACTTACATGCATATATTTGACTCCAAATACTCACCAAATTAGTCTACTCAACTAATATTGAACATTAAGCTATTGGGATCATTGGGACTTTGTGGCTTTCATTTGTTAGGCTCTTTGGTTCGAGGTAGGTAATATGGATATGTATGGCTAATTTTTCTTGGATTGAGGTGATTACGCCAAAACTTGAAAGATAGGCGTTTGAAACAATGAATTCACCTCTAGGGACTTAAGTAACTCGATTCTCCAAAATTCAGACGTCAACACTTTTGCCTTTTAGGCAATGGATCGAGTTTTCGACAACTAGCCCTTATTTCTCCCTTCTAATCTATTCTTCTTCTTCTTTTTCTTTAAATTTGTTTTTTTTAATCGAAGAATTTAGATATATATATATATATATATATATATATATATATATATATATATATATATATAAAGATGCACATATATATCTATATCTCTATTCGATTTTATTTTTTCGAAGAAGAAGAAGATCTTATAAGAATTTTCGACCGACCTCCAAGGGATAATTATTCAACAATCTCCAGTTTTCTACCTTACACATATTGGCTAAAAGAAAGAACACCTTTTCTCCGAGGCTCAAATCAAGGTTCTAAGGATAAATTCGACAAAAATGGTAGGCTTGAAAGGCTCAAACGGTTCAAAGAAGGCCCAAATCATATCCCAAATCACTTACTACCCAACACTTCGTATCATAAATGTCCTAAGGTGAGATTTAAAACCGAACAAAGCATGATTTAGGACAAATAAATTCCAAATTTAAAATACAAAATCTTCAACAAAAGCAATGCATAAGGTGTGATTCCTAGAAATAATTCACTTCTACGTTCCGTTGAATCGAAAGCTAAACGAATATCTACTCCTTATCAACATAAAACAAGTAATCTCATCATCAAACATTGACCATCTCCCATCATCATAATTCATCGATGCATCAAACAATTTTTTTTTTCTTTTTTTTTCAAAGCAAATAATAAAACGGAAATAATAAAACGGCAACTAAAACAAAAACTAAAGCATGCAAACTAACAAAGAAGAAAAACATAAATAAGGCGCACATAAAAGAAAACAATAGTTAACCACCCCCAAACTTAAAATTCACATTGCCCTCAATGTGATTCGCCCGGAGTTTAAGGATAGAAAACACCTGTTTAAGCGTCGGGACCATCGTTGGGTTGCGCACCAACTCCACCTTGCGCATGAGCATCACCATCCTCTTCATCATCTGAAAGCTCGGGGACCGGCTCAAGAATCGGTGCGGGCAACGGAGCCGGTTCGGCGCACTCGGGATTGCCGCATGCCAAATGGCGCACAATGGCTTGGAGCATCTTCCCCGACCACCGTTTTTTTGAAGGGATTCGATTGTGCTCACCTTGTGCTCCACTGTGGCAAGCCGATTTCTCGTGATCACCAACTCTCGCGCAATTCTTCTTTGAAAACGGCGGTCCGAACTTGTGCTTGGACCCTCGGGTGGAGCTATTGGTTGGTTATCGACGGGTGGCTCTCCATCTTGGATGGGTGCCTTGTATTGTCGGGCCGCAAGGTTACTCATCGGCTTCCGAATCGATGTGAGAATATCCGTCGTTTTGGTTGGGACCTTCGCCTTCTTGCATAGACCGGTAACTAGGCAAGGGAAATAAAACCCTTTGGCGTTGTTGACCATGGAGGTCCAAAATCGATCGGAGATAATTTCGCCAATATTGATCGGTGTGCCCTTGAGAATGTAGTATGCAAGAGCACACCGTTCGGGATCCACGTGAGTCCACGAGCGGGTGGGAATGAGGTTGGCACAAATGAACGTAAGGCACGCCTTGCCTATTTGGTGGATGCATTTCCACTCCAACTCGTATGCCTCTTCGGTTGAGAGGTCGGACCAAATTGGTGGGCCATCGCACAACACCTCGCCGAGTTGATCCCTTGTGACCGCAAGTTGCATTTTCTCCCAATTGAATGGCTCATGTCGGAGGTGATAAAAGGAGTTGATGGCCAGGGGACACCAATCGACCCGCTTTCCTCGAACCGTGCTCGACTTCTGATCCGTTGTTAGGAGGATACGGGTGTTGGCGTAGAACTCGCGGACCAACGATAGGTTGATCGACCCCTCCGGTTCCAATAATGCTTGCCAACCTCGTCGTAGAAATTCTTTGTGCAACGGTGCGAATTGTGGAAGGGTGATCTCATATGCGCGCTCCGTCACAAGTTTCTTCACTTTTTGTTTCTCAAAACGAGCCTTGGCGCCTTCGACACAAAAAGCATCGTCGTCCGGTGTTGGAATTTGATCGGTTTTCTTGCCCTTCCCCTTGCCTTTAGAAGTGCCTTCGCCTTGTGAGGTGCCCTCCCCGTCACGTCCTCGTTTCCCCATGACTTGAGAATGCGTGTGGGAGGGATTAGAAGTGAATTGATGTGCAAAATTTCCCCCAAACTTGACTTGGGCAATTCGTCGAACACCTTGTGGGCGTTCTTGGTGGAATGGGTTTGTGGAGAAATTTGCACCTTTCTTGAAGCCTCTCTGCACAAATCACCAACAAGCAACAATGTTTGAGTGTTATGTGTGTGTAGTTGGTGGAATTTAGGCGAATTTGTTCAAAGAAAATCGAAAATTTTGAAAAGAGGGGGTTAGGGTTCGAATTAGGAGAGAAAAAGGAATTAGAATTGTGGTTTGGAAAACCCCTATTTAATATGCCCGATTTTTTTATTCGCACGGCCGTGCGAGATTTAGGGGAACAATCCGCACGGCCGCGCCCTTTTGCCGAATTGGGCAGTAGCCCCTTCAAATCTCGGACGGCCGTGCGAGATTTAGGTGAAAAATCCGCACGGCCGTCCCGTTTCCCGATTTTATACAGTAGCATCACCGAAATCTCACACGGCCGTGTGAGATTCCTGCCTTTTTCTTGCACGACCGTGTGAATAATTGCAATTAGGTCCCTGAAAAATAGAAACTTCTTATTAGTGCCCCTGAAACTTTTTTTTTTTTTTTAGAAAAATAAAATAAAAACAAAACTAAAAATTTAAAATAACATAAAATAAGAAAAACGAAATCTCGGGTTGCCTCCCAAGAAGCGCTAAGTTTACAGTTTTCAGCCGGACTTTGTCTGCTTCTTTGTTCAAGCTAACGTGACCGAAGTCACTTGGCAATTGAATTCCCCTCCACAATAATGCTTGAGGCGTTGCCCATTGACTTTGAACGAATTTTCGGTTTTGGGATCCAATAATTCGACTGCGCCGTGAGGAAATACGTCGAGTATAGTAAACGGTCCGAACCATCTTGACTTGAGTTTTCCCAGAAACAACTTTAGACGGGAGTTGTAGAGGAGAACCAATTGCCCCTTTTGAAATTCTCGATGCAATATCTTGTTATCGTGCCAACGCTTGGTTTTCTCCTTGTATACACGATTGCTTTCATACACATTCAATCTCAATTCATCGAGCTCGTTGAGTTGCAGCATTCGTTTCTCCTTGCACGCTTCAATATCGAAATTCAGCTTTTTAATTGCCCAAAACGCATTATGCTCCAATTCAACCGGTAGATGACACGCCTTGCCATAAATCAAACGAAACGGTGTCATTCCAAGTAGAGTTTTGTAAGCTGTACGATATGCCCAAAGTGCATCATCTAATTTTCTCGACCAATCTTTCCGGGTAGGACTCACAACCTTTTCGAGGATGTTTTTGATTTCACGATTCGTGACCTCGGCTTGCCCGTTCGTCTGAGGGTGGTAGGCCAATGCGACCTTGTGGTTTACTCCATACTTGGCCAAGAGTGCTTCGAATTGTTTATTGAAAAAGTGAGTGCCTCCATCACTAATAATTGCTCGTGGCGTTCCAAAACGAGTGAAAATCTGTCTTTTTAAGAAAGCACAAACCACTGCAGAATCATTAGTAGGAAAGGCGGCCGCCTCAACCCATTTAGATACATAATCGACGGCCAATAAGATGTATAGGTTATTGAATGATGGGACAAAAGGTCCCATAAAATCTATCCCCCATACATCGAAGGGCTCTACTTCGATCATTGTATTTAATGGGAGTTCGTTCCTCCTTGAAATATTACCAACTCGCTGGCATCTATCACAACTTGAAACAAACTTATAGCAATCTTTAAACAAAGTTGGCCAGAAGAAACCTGATTGAAGCACCTTTCTCGTCGTGCGCTCACCTCCATAATGTCCCGCATAATCCGAGCCATGGCAGTGAAAAAGTATATCTCCTTGCTCGCTTGTCGGTACACATCTTCGAATGACTAAATCGCTGCATTGTCTAAACAAAAAGGGTTCTTCCCAAAGTAGAAATTCACATCGTGTAAAAACTTTTTTCGTTGACGAAAAGTGAGCTCGGGTGGAAGTACACGGCTAACTAAATAATTCACAAAATCCGCATACCATGGTACTTCTTGATTATTAATAACAAGCAATTGTTCATCCGGAAAATTTTCATTAATGCAAATTGGATCTTTGAATTCCGTTTCTAGCCTAGATAAATGATCGGCTACTTGGTTCTCGCTACCCTTACGGTCACGAATTTCCAAATCGAACTCTTGCAACAATAACACCCACCTAATAAGTCTAGGTTTTGCCTCTTTCTTTTCTATCAAATATTTTAAAGCTGAGTGATCCGTGAAGACAATGACTTTGGTGCCTATAAGATATGATCTAAATTTTTCGAATGCAAAAACAACTACTAGCAACTCTTTTTCAGTGGTGGTATAATTCAATTGTGCATCGTTTAGAGTTTTACTAGCATAGTAAATTGAATGAAAAATTTTATTCTTTCATTGACCCAACAGGGCACCTACCGCAAAATCGCTGGCATCACACATAAGCTCAAAAGGTTCATTCCAATCGGGCACAACAATAATAGGAGCAGTTACTAACCTTGTTTTGAAGTCGTCGAAGGCTTTGAGGCATTCGTCATTGAAATTGAATTTGACGTCCTTCTCCAAAAAATTGCACAATGGTTTGGCTACCTTGGAGAAATCCTTGATGAACCGCCTATAGAATCCCGCATGTCCCAAGAAACTTCGAATCCCCTTTACGGAAATTGGTGGCGGTAATTTCTCGATTGTCTCGTGTTTTGCTCGATCCACTTCTAACCCCTTCTTTGGCACCTTGTGTCCTAGCATGATCCCCTCTTGCACCATAAAGTGGCACTTTTCCCAGTTGAGCACCAAATTTGTCTCTTCACACCTGCGAAGAACCTTAGCCAGTATTTGGAGACAAGTGTCATACGTATCACCGAAGACCGAAAAATCATCCATAAAAATTTCAAGACCACATTCAACCATGTCCGTAAAAATTGCCATCATACACCGTTGAAAAGTAGCAGGAGCATTGCATAAACCAGAAGGCATACGTCTAAAGGCAAAAGTACCAAAATGACAGGTAAATGTGGTTTTGTCTTGATCCTCGGGAGCTATGGCGATTTGGTTATAACCGGAATACCCATCTAAAAAGCAATAGAATTCTTGACAAGCTAGACTAACAAGCATTTGATCAATAAAGGGCAACGGGAAGTGATCTTTTCGAGTGGCTTTACTCAATTTTCTATAATCCATGCAAATTCGCCAACCCGTTACTGTCCTAGAAGGGATTAATTCATTTTTTTCGTTTTTAATAACAGTCGTTCCCCCTTTCTTGGGTACACATTGTACCGGACTAACCCACGCACTATCAGAAATAGGAAAAATAATACCTGCGTCTAGCCACTTGATGATTTCTTTCTTCACAACTTCCTTCATGATGGGGTTCAATCGCCTCTGTTGTTCCATCGAAGATTTATGGCTCTCCTCCAATATGATCTTGTGCATGCAAAAAGTTGGACTTATGCCCTTGATGTCGGCAATTGTCCATCCAAGTGCTAGCTTGTGCTCTCGCAAGACCTCCAAAAGTCTCTTTTCCTGTAGACCTGTCAAAGATGAAGAAATAATAACAGGTAAGGTCTCATGAGCTCCAAGATACATATATTTTAAACGAGATGGTAAAACTTTAAGCTCAAGTTTCGGAGGTTCGATCACTGAAGGCCTAAAAGTGACAGATAACGGGAGCTCCGTCTCCAAACTCTCAAAGCGTGGTCTTGACAGCGGCTTTGCCGAATCCAACCAACATAATTGTTCCGTCACTTCTTCTTCTTCTTCAACTGATGTTCCTACACTCAAAGATGCTTCCAACGGATCCGCATTTAAAGGTTCAACAAAATCAAAATTCAATTGATCTAACACATCAAAAGCAAAGCATTCATCACCCTCTTGAGGGTGTTTCATTGTACGGAAAACATCAAATTTAATCGTTACATCCCCCAAAG